CAGCCCCCCAATCAGGACACGGAACTGTTCCATTCCACAAAGACATTCCTTCTGCCCCCTGTTTTTATGGACATCCCACCCCCTCCCTGTTATTCCCCGATAACTACTGATCTGGTTTCCACCACTATCGTCTAGTCACTTTGCGAATATTCTGTAAATGAAATCATGCAGTGTGAACTCTTTTTTTTTTTTTACCTTTGAAATATCATGTCATTTATTTATTTTTTTCCTTTTTTTATTAAATCATCACCGTGCACACTAATGCATTCGTGGGGTACAATGTGCCGATTTTAGGTACAATGTGGAATGTTTACCAGCAGTTTTTCCTTTCTCTTTCTCTCTCTCTCTTTTTAAACTCAGCATAATTGCCTTGAGATCCATCCAAGTTGTTAACACGTATCGGTGGTTCGTGCCTTTTTATTTATTGCCGAATAGTATTTCATGGAATGGAGGGGCCTCCGTTGGTTTTTCTGTTCACCTATTGAGGGGCATTTTGGTTGTTTCCAATTTGGGGTTATTACCAATAAAACGACTGTGAACATTTGTGTGCAGGTTTTTGTGAATATGTTTTAATTTCTCTGGTAATGGTGCCCAAGACTGCAACTGCTTGGTGATCCGTAAGTGTATATTTCGTTTTTAAAGAAACTGCCAAACTACTTTCCAGAATGGTTGTATCATTTTACATTTCCACCAACAAGGTATAAGAGATCTGGTTTCTCTGCCTGGTCACCAGCGTTTGGTATTGTCACTGTCTTTTCATCTTAGCTGTTTTCCCAGGTGTGTGGTAATACCTCACTGTGGTGTTAAGTTGCTTTGCCCTTATGGTAAGTACTGCCGAATATTTTGTCATGGGTATTGTTGCTGTCTGTGTATCATCATTGGTGAAATGTCCCTTTAAATCATTTCGCCCATTCTCTAATTGGATTGAGTGTCTTAAAATTTTAATATATGTTCTCTCTCTCTCTCTTAAAACAAGCTTGAAATGGTCTCCTGACTAGCAACCCTAAGGCTCATGAGTAGTCTGCTTTCGTATTTAGGGATGTCATAATAACAGCTCACGTTTGTTGAACCCACACCTTGTGCCAGGCAACATTCTTCGTGATATACAGGTTTTAGCTCACTTGATGAATGTTGCCTTTATAAACATCGTATGTCGTTATTATAAATATTAACCAGCATTACAATTTAGTTTACAAATCTAATTATTGGCACAAACAAACAGCTTTCGATTGGCAGTCTGGCTTTCGCTGAATTCGAATTGGCTGAGTCGATTTGTGTTTTAATGGGTTGAGAGAAATCTAAGCCACTTGTGTCTCAAGAGCTTGTGAGCCAGTGCAGCTGCTCTTCAGGTGAAATAACAGGGTTCACATTGAAAAATGAGACATATCAGGGCGGCACCTGTGGCTTAAAGGAGTAGGGCACTGGCCCCATATGCCAGAGGTGGCAGGTTCAAACCCAGCCCCAGACAAAAACTGCAAAAAAAAAAAAAAAAAATAGGGGAGATATATCAGATATATGGTTTTACACGTTTTAAATAAAATCAGACAGTGTTCAGTTTGAAAAATTCTACAGAAGTGAATCCTTGAACTTTAGTTCCCTAAAATAAAGGCAGAAAATAAATGCCTATTCATATTATATCGTCTTTACAAACCACATTGTTGTGAATGAAACAGATAAACCTGTATTGATCAGGTATCTGAATTCCCATGTGAGGCGAGGACCACATTCCCTGGGGACTGGAAAGACAGCAGAGGTTCCATGAGGTTCTGGACCACCTCCCAGCTGGTCTTACCTCCGATCCCTCTGGGAACGGAGCGTGCGCCTTTGTGCCTGGGAGGGGCTTGTATGTTGAGTCGCTCATGGTACAGTGGCTGCCCATGGATTCTGGGCAGAGATGGATGTATCAGAGCCCATGGTGCACCCGGACAGAACTGCGGGCTCAGGGAATGGTCCCATCATCTGGTCCCAGTGTCATTGCCATAGCACAACCTGTGTTGTGAGAGCCAAGGTCCGCGGAGGTGATGCTGCCGTGTGTGTCCTGGGCCCTGCACACACTTTAACTAAGGTCCGGCTGCTGCATTAACCAGCTGACTCGGCAGGTCCAAGGACAGCCTCCAGGTACCCACCTTTCTCAGCGAGGCTCCCGGGAGCTTTGGCTATGGAGGTGTGAGGGACACAGTGCCCTTCCCGCCTTCTCCCACGCCCGTCATCCTCACGTTTTCACCTTGCTGTTTTCTGGTTTGGGTCTCTTCTCACGCTTTGTCCTCTGGATGTTACTCTTGGCACATTTTCCTCCAGTAACTAAGCTTCCCTCATCTCATCATCATGTTGCTTCAGGCCACTTCGGGGAAGCCCCTGGGAGTCTCTGAGCCAGCGAGTCTTCAGGGCAGTGATGCTACCCAGCTTGCCCTGCTCACTCTTTTTACTGATGTTATTCTCTCCCCCCACCCCAAGTTCAAATCTGGCCTCACCACTTAACAGTTAAGCTGTCAGCAGGTTGCCTTTCCCGCCCCAGCCTGCTTCTTTTGTAATGGGGTGGGTAATCCCTTCCTCACAGGGCAGATGTGAGACTTCCCAAGTGTGTGTGTATGAGTGTGTGTATAGCCCATCACAGCCTAGGATTCAATGGTAATAGATAATTCTAGAAATGGAACAGCCCTCTCCATCACCCTTGTCCTTCACCTTGGCTTCTGATCTCAGGTCCTATAGTCCTGTCCCCTTCTCCCTGACCCTTTAGGGAGGACTCTGACCACTCACTCCTTCTTTGGCAGCAGAGATGCTCTGATTGGCTGTCATCACCATGGCAACCCATTGTCTCCCGTCCCCATCCCTCACTTTCTAGTGCCAGTGGATTTACGGAATTCCAGGCTTCTCAGGCCAGGAAGGAAGAGCCCGGAGGAGGGAAGACAAGCAACATGTTTTGGGTTTCTGTGGACTCTGAGTTCCAGCCTGGTGTGCAGTATGGCCTCTGTGCCTCTGCATGTTGAGGGAACCACTTCTGACCTTAACAATCCTTAGTTATCCTGATTCCCTCTGAAAGGGGCCTGTGGAGGGGGCAGGAGCCATGGGGCCTGGGCCTGCGGCCCGAGGCGTACGTGATAAGTGTGTGGCTCAAAGACACTTGCTGAACGTCAAACAGGGCAGTGTTCATCCTGCAGCCCTCCCTGCACTGCTGAGGGGTCACACCATAGATCTGTTGCCAGTGTGGTTTGAAAACCCCAAGAGCTTTCCGGGGTCATTCCTCATTCTGGCCATCCCAGGTGGGCAGCCAAGCTGTGCCCTTGGTTCTGAAGTGAGGTGGGGACTGGGGATGCACATCCACATGGGACCCCGGAGAACAACACAGGGTGTTGGGCAGTGATGTGCAGTCAGGGGCTTGAGCCTAAGAATCTACTCCCTGGCATGGTCTGCAGAGTGCAACACCACCCGTCTCATCCGCCCATCAGCTGTGATGGTCAGGGGTCTTAGCGTGCTATTGTAGTTAAAAAAGTAATTTCAAAACATGGGATGAATCAAGGTCACTTTTTGTTGTGAGGTGTGCTCTCATTCAGTAGGGGCGTGGTGGTAGATGGTTGAACAAACTCTGCTTTGAAGCCGGGAGGCGATGGAATTCTGATACATGTGTCAGTGTGGATGACCCCTGAAGGTGGCAGGCCAAGGGAAAGACACCAGACATGAAAGGGCAGGTACAGTCTGACCCCCTGATGTGAGGGGCCCAGAGCAGGCAAATTCCTAGAGTCAGAAATCAGAGCAGAGGTTGGGGGAAGGGGAGTTATTGTCTAACGGTTACAGATGCAAGCCAGGGAAGATGTAGAAGTCTTGGAGATGGAAGGTGGTGGTGGTCGCCCGACCCCAACATACTCAACACCACTAAATGACACAGTTAAAAATGGTGAAGATGTGGGCGGCGCCTGTGGCTCAAGGAGTGGGGCGCTGGCCCCATATACTGGAAGTGGCGGGTTCAAAGGTGGCCCTGGCCAAAAACTGCAACAACAACAAAAAAGAAAGAAAAAAATGTTGAAAATGTGACATTTTACGTTGTGTTTTTACCACAATAGAACAATTACTTGCCTCCCCAAGAAAAATGAGTGAGGCAAGGCTGGGCGGTGGGGTGTGGGGATGGTGGGCAGCACCTGGCAGGGGCTTCAATCAGGAGGTGTGTTCTGGAGGAGGGGGTCTTACCCCTCAAATGCCTCACGCTGCTCTCTCCAGATGACTGGCTGAGAGCAAGATCATCCTGATACCCCAATTCCCCTAGGGGACTGAAGAAAGGGCGGTTGATCCCCATTGCCTTCCCTCAGGATCTTGCCATATGCAGGAGTCACCAGGGTGGTGTCTGGCTCGTCTTCCTACCTGTGGCTGCCTCTGGAAGGCCTGGGTGGGCTGTATGGGGTGTGAGGACCTACCAGGACCGGTCAAATGCCAAAGCAGAGGTGTGGCTGACACCTTTGAGAGAGTGGCCAGAGGGAAGCCTGGCTCTCCTGAGACCCCTGTGCGGGGCCCTCACCAGCTCCAGGACCCAGGATTTCTGCAGCCCCTCCTGCCTCCTGAGTCCATCCTTCAAGCCCACCAGCCCTTTGGATGAGCTCTAAACAGGCCCTGAGGCCTTGGGGAAGCTATTTTAGGGTACATATGATCTTTTTTATTTCTTCTCTAGATTATATCTTCTCCCACCCCCAGATTCGAAAGACTAAAAGATTTTTGAAATCATTCATCATTTCCCCAGCTTGGAAGCTGTGCCTTCACCCCCACTTTCCCCACACCACTCCCCCTTTCTCCCTTGCCACTCTCTCCCTCCGGTCCCCCTGTTCCACAGGCAGCAGAGAAAGCAGGCTCTTTGTCTGACATCATCTTGCACTCCCCGGCCTGCTAAGAGTTACTCACTCAGGCAATCCCCGCTCCACCAGAGGAGACCGTCCAATTGCCAAGCAACCCACTGCTGGCCAATCACGGCGCTGGGAGGTGATGTCATGGCGAGAGCGAGCAGTGGTGCTGATGTTGAGAGAAGCCCAGGGTACCACTAATTGAGGGAGTGAGGACGAGCACGGCTCCGTCTGACAGGACTGCAGGTAAGTAGAAATGAAATGCAAATAATTCTGGGCTTGCCAGACAAAGGGAAAAAACAAGACAACTGAGTGGGGAGAAGCCCGGGACCTGGCACCTACTGGGTTGCCTTCGGCTTCATAAATCAATTAAACTTTGTCAAACCCGGGGAAAATGGGTGAGGCAGAAAGAATGGCGCTCGGCAGAGGGGCAGGGGTGGGTTCCAGGTGTTACTTTTATTCCACAGCTCAGGAGGGATAGGGTGGGTGGGAACTGTCAGATGTCCACGGTGAGTTATTTCTGCATAAAAATGTTTTGTTGCCCAGGGGGACGGTTTCATGCAGGGTCCAGCTTTCCCTGGAGCTTGTTCTGACTTGAAGACCCCTTTCAAGAGGGAAGATGCCTTGGGTTCCACCTTGACTACCTCAGACATAGCTGTTCTTGTCTCCTGCTCCCATTTTTTATTATCTGTCTTTTCTTTCCCCGCTCTCTCTGCCGGGGTTACTTTTTTGTCTTGGTTCTAAGGAAGCAATGAGATCATCACCTCTTCCTTGCCCCGCCCCACCCTGAGGTCAGCCTGATCCTACCTGGCTGGGGCTGGCTCGGAAGCTCCCAGCTGCACAAGTACAGCTCGGCCACGCCCTGGTCCTTGGTTGGGGCCAGGCCAAGCCCCCTCCTCACTCAGCCTGCTACCCTTGCCAGGAGTTTAGGCATTGTCCATTTCTCGTCCTGGGACCAGGTTTTGCTGTCCAGTGGCCAGCTGTGTCCCCACGTGGTGGTGCTGTCTTTGTTTTATTTCTCCCAAGAACATACAGTCAAGTGTGGTAGAGTCTCATCGTCCTGAACCTGGAGGTCTCTAGGATGCCGTGTGTGTGTGTGTGTGTGTGTGTGTGTGTGTGTGTCCATGGCAGGGGGAGGTCAGAAATGTTTAGGCAGCCCTTGTCTGAATATGCCACACAGGGATACCCCCATGTCTCAAGACCAAGAGAGTATGAGAAGGGGATGGCCAGATGTGTCCTGCTGGGGGCCTGAGGGGTGGGTGGGAGCAGGGAGGGAGTGTGGGGGAATCTGTCTCCATGGGAGGCTGAGGCCCCCTCTAGGGGGAGGAAACCTCTCCCACAGGCATGCTGGGGGGAATGAGATCATCTACCAGATGAGGAAATAATCACAGTGCTGGAGCGGAGAGCAGGCAGAGGGGAAGGGTCTGATCGGCAGCTCCTCAGAAGGGAGCTAGAGTCTCCCAGCAACCCTGCCCATCTTCTGGCTCCCCCCAGCTCCCCACCTTGCTGCTGGGAGCTGTACTTTCTCCCCTTTTCGAAGCTGCTGTACACCTGTCAGCTGGTCCCAGCCCTATGGGGATCCCCAGCTCCATCCAAGCCCCTCCTGGAGCAGCTATGTGGTGGGCAAAGACCTGCACCTGCTGGATGGGGCCCTCGTGGAGCATGCTGCCTTGTAGGGTGTGAGCTCCCTGTCACCAAGGGCATTCTAGCAGAAGTTGGATGAACACCCAGCAAAGGAGGCTTTGGAGATTGTGACATCATGTTAGAGATTGGTTTAGGTTAGTGTTTTTTAAACTGCAGACTAAGAACTATTAGTAGATTATGAAATCAATTTTTGGATGATAACTGGTCTTTTTTCTTAACAAAATGAGAAAAGTAGAAAAAAATCAGAACGTATGCCTTATAACAAGGTAAATAATTCTTCCTGTACGTTTTAGGTATCCACTATATATATAAATACTTGAGTCACATTTGACCTCCACAATTACTTGTATTCCTCTTTTGTTCTCAGCCTGTGTTATCAGTATATATTGAGTATTACAATTTTAATACAGTTTTCCTTTCTTAAAAGTGTGTATCCATATTTTTGGCTCTCTCTACATCTGTATCAGTCATCATATATGTATGTATCTGTATCATGACATATACTTTCTTTATTGTTTGGGATTCATTGAGGGTACAAAGAATTAGGTTACACTGATTGCATTTGTTAGATAAAGTCCCTCTGGTAATTGTGTCCTGCCCCCAAGAAGTGTGCCATACTGGGCGGTGCCTGTGGCTCAAAGGAGTAGGGCGCAGGCCCCATATGTTGGAGGTGGTGGGTTCAAACCCAGCCCCGGCCAAAAACAAAAAACAAAAAAAAGAAGTGTGCCGTACACTGTGAGTCCCTCCCTTCTCCCCTCTCCCCACTTGCTCATTCCCCTACCCCACCCCTTATATTAGCTCATCTACTGCCTTCATATTAGAATTGAGTACACTGGATTCTTGCTTCTCCGTTCTTGTGATGCTTTACTAAGAAGAATGTGTTCCAGCTCCATCCAGGTGAATACAAAAGATGTAAAGTCTCCATCTTTTATAATGGCTGAATAGTATTCCATGGTGTACATATACCACAGCTCATTAATCCATTCCTGGGTTGGTGGGCATTTAGGCTGTTTCCACATTTTGGCGATTATAAGTTGAGCTGTGATAAACAGTCTAGTGCAAATGTACTTATGATAAAAGAATTTTTTTCTTCTGGGTAGATGCCTAATAATGGGATTGCAAGATCAAATTGGAGGTCTAATTTCAGTTCTTTTGGATTCTCCATACTTCTTTCCAAAATGGTTGTATTAGTTTGCAGTCCCATCATCAGTGTAAAAGTGTTCCCTTCTCTCCATATCCACGCCAGCATCTGCGGCTTTGAGACTTTGTGATGTGGGCCATTCTCACTGGGGTTCGGCAGTATCACAGGGTGGTTTTGACTTACATTTCTCAGATGATTAGGGAGATAAGCATTTTTCATATGTTTGTTAGCCATTCATCTGTCTTCTTTAGAGAAGGTTCTATTCATGTCTCTTGCCCAGTGATATATGGGATTATTAGGTCTTTTTTGTTGATTAATTTGATTTCTCTGTGGATCCTAGTCATCAAGCTTTTGTCCAATTAATAATATGAAAATATCTTTTCCCATTCTGAAGGTTGTCTATCTGTGTCGGTTGTTGTTTCCTTAGCTGTACAGAAGCTCTTCAGTTTAATTAAGTTCCATTTTGTTGTTGTTGTTGTTGTTGCAATTGCCATGGAAGTCTTCTTCATAAAGTCTTTCCCCAGGCTAATATCTTCAAGTGTTTTCCCTACAGTTTCTTTGCGGATTTTTATTGTTTCATGCTTTAGAATGAAATCTTTTATCATCTTGAATCAATTTTTGTAAGTGGTGAGAGGTGCGGGTCCAATTTAAAATGTGGTTCTCATGTGGGTCTCAGTCAAAAACATTTGAAGAACATTGGGTGCTAAATGACTTCTGACTACCTCTTCTAACCCTAAGACTACAAGCCTATAGAAAAGTCCTACTAGACAATAAATTCTTCCTTTTTTAAAATTTAAAGTTATAAAATCTGCCATCTTAACTATTTTTAAGTATATACTCTAGCAGCTTTAAGATAGATGACCATTGTTTTGCATCTAATCTTTAAAAATCTTTTCTTGCAAAACTGAAACTCCATATCTATTAAACACTAACTCCCCATTCCCCCCTCCCCCACCCCTGGTAACCCCAGTTCTACTTTTTGTCTCTGAGTCTGACTCCTCATCTAAGTGGAAGTCTTCAATATCTGTTCTTTCCTCACTGGCTTATTTCACTCAGCAGAATGTCCTCAAGTTTCATCCATTTATAGACTTTGTTTCTCTGTTGCCAGGTGTCTAAAAGTTCCAATTAAATGCAAGTATTGTTTTAAGTGGGAAACCATGTTTCTTCTGGGAGATACTTTGTTCTAAAGCAGTGGTTCTCAACCTATGGGTCACGACCCCTTTGGGAGTCTCCTGCATATCAGATATTTACATTATGATTCATAACAGTTGCAAAATTATAGTTATGAAGTAGCAATGAAAATAATTTTATGGTTGGGGGTCATCACAACATGAGGAACTGTATTAAAGGGTTGGGGCATTAGGAAGGTTGAGAACCACTGTTCTAAAGGATCCATCAAAGACAGAGAAGATGGTCTAATTTCCCTCATGCTGAACAGATTGCCCAAAAGCAGTGGGAGTGTCTTGCATTTTTGCCTGGATGGATGCTTAGTATCTAGTTTTCAATTTTTGGCTCAGTGGAAGAAATCCAAGGGCCAAGTGAGGCTGGCCACCTTCTCTATTTGACTAAGCCGTTTTCACCACACTGGCCTTCTGGGAAGGGAGGGGGCTGGTTGATAACATTTAGAATAGAACAACAAAGATCGAATAACTGAGAATAAGGTAGTTGAACAAGAAAGAGAAGCATGGCGGGAGGGAGAAGGATAAGGAAGGTAAGAGTGAGTTGTTTTTTTTTTTTTTTAAAGGAGGAGATAATGTCTATATTAAACCAACTATATAGAAGAACTAGGGAGAAATCAGATGTTTCGTGTTCTTGATTTTAAATAATAGGATATTTAATTATCAAGATTATAACTGGAGGAAGACTTAATTTTTCGAGAACCCCCTAAGACCTTCTCCCAGGCCCCCTTAGATATCTTTATATTATTTTTGGAGACACAGAATTCCCAGAGGTTTTCAAGTCACGCACAGGGAGAAGTGAGTCTTGGGGGGGGGGACATAAAAATGTAGGGAAAATGTAAAATGTAGTTTCTATAATGCCCTTTAGAGAACCAAACTATTTTTTTCTTAGCTTGAGCAAAAAGCATACATTATGTATAATTTGGTTTGCTTATTAAATTAGCATTTGCTATATTTAGAATTGTGGCAGTCTGGGAAAGGTTGCTTTTTCTATGTTTCTTTGAGGAGGAGTAGAAACCAAAAATCTCCCTTGCCATTTTTTAAAAAAAATGTTTTTCAGATACCTTACATTTCTTGTCCCTCTAGGAAGACACACAGAGATGTGAGCACCTCCTCCCTCCCTGCCCACGCAGGCCTGCCCGTTCACACCCCCTACAGACATAGATGTAGACTCCCACCTCCCTCACCCCTACACACACATATATGTACACCTGTCCTCCCCCACCAAAACGCAAAGCTTTCTGGTCTTTTCCCTGAATTAGAACTGAGAGTTCTGTGTCTAC